GACAAAGTTAACAGCACCTCCAATGAACTTGATCATGCTCAGATTCAAAACCAGACCAAACCAGACCAAACAAACGTACAAAGGAAGCAAGTAAAACAAATCAAAACAAAATCTCAGATTCAAAAGATCATTCTCAGATTCAATTCAACAAATCAAAACAAAATCTCAGATTCAAAAGATCATTCTCAGATTCAATTCAACAAAATGCAAAACTACTGATGCAAAACTCTACTGAAACCAAATGCAAAACCCAAAGCAGCTACGGTCAAAAGCTCTCCAGCGACAGTCACAGCTGCCTGAAACCCGAAGCAGCTACCCGAAGCGGCGCTCATGAGCATCGTTCCTCCGCCCTCCGCATTTTCCTCCACCGCTTCTCCTTCTCCTCCGCCGTCATCAAACCCTAATTCGCACCACCACCATCAACATCAGAAAAACCCTAATCTGACCACTACCACCACCACTATCACCGCCGCCACCATTGACGCACCACCACCGCTTGCTCCTCTAGAGGCGACGTATTCGTAGGAGATTTTGGAGCAGTAGTCTTCAGAGCGAGACAGAGAGAGCGACGGAGCGAGAGAGCGAGACTGAGAGAGCGACGGAGCGAGAGAGGCGACAACGAGGGAGGCGAGACCGAGGGGAGGGAGGCGAGACCGAGGGGAGGCGAGAGCGAGGGGGCTAGATTTTCGTTCAATTTGGGGAAAAATTTTGGGGAAATAAGAGGCTTATATGCCTTGGTCCTTCTTGGGCCTGAGGTAGTAGAGACTTATACGCCTCGGTCCTTCCTACCAACCGATGCAGTATACCCCTTCCACCTCGGGTTTCTCTTAACCGCGTCAGAAACCGCTAATTAGGCACCTGTTGCTTTCACAACTGAAGTGGTAGCCCTTTTTGGCACCGGTCTAGTCTGAACCGAGACCTATAAGGTCTCGTTAATAACGAAACTACCACCGTGTCTAAATAGAAAGAGATTTAATGTAAAAAGAGGTCTATTGTGCGAGTTTAAAAGCACATTTTGTACTAGTGATATACATTAAATGCTTTTTATGTAACATTAATTTTATATCCATTCTCTAAGCATACACTATATACTTTAGCCTATGAGACCTAGATAAGTTTTATCCAAACTAAAATAAAAGGTAAGACCGTACAAGACTAATGATGTAGCAAATAGTGTCTTTTTAAAAAGGTTCAAGGTAGATTTGATGTAATAGTAATTACAACCCTTGCTTGGCATAAAACTTCATGATGGGAGGAGTACACACAATAATGTTAAGTAGGTTAATTACGTGATTGTTATCATGAGGTTATAGAATTTGTCTCCTTCAACCAATATACATAGAACTCCTAATGTTGACTCTTTTCGTTATATTTTCCAGAAGTGATGACCAGATATATGTATCCTCTAGCATGCACTCTTTAGCCTAAAAAATCTGATTAATAACTTTGTATATATTTATTGAGGTAGTGCGGAATGTCATTCTTTATAAATGTTACCAAAACAACATATCAGTTGAGTTACCTTAATATGATTTTCCGAACTTCCCAATTAGTGATATGGACTATGACCACCATTGGCTCATCTTCTAATACGTCATTATAAGAAAAATTATAATTATTTAAGGTAATGGTGGGATATGAGGTGGCCTTTTGACACTAAATTAGTATATCTATGAAGTTAATTATTTCTCTTTGCAGCAGTTGTCCTTGGTCTTATAGGATATGTTGATTTGTATTTATCATGTGGTTTGAGTTTTCAAATGAAATCCAACATCAGAAGACACATATTTAATTGTATTCAATTAATTTGGAGGTTTATGAATTCAAAAGAGAAATTGAATTAAGAAGTCTAAAACTGAAATTAAAAGAATTAAAACGGATCAATCATATATTCAACAATTAAAGAATTTGAAAATAATATTTCTCTAAAGATTCACATCCAAGTTCAAATAATTGATCAATTTAATCAATTAAATCAATTAAGCCAATTTATACAAATTAAATTCCAATATTTCAATCGATTTCTAATTTAAATTCTAATATTAAAAACACAAATCAATATCACAAAAAGAAAAATTAGAATAGAGAAGAAAAAGAATAAACACATAACATAAAATGATTAGTGAAAAACTCAATTTGTGTTGTTTGATCTTGATTATGGGAATTGATCTTCAAAGGTCTAGCTCTCCATTATTGAACAATAGACAATATAGCAACAAAATAGTACAGTAATTATGAAAAGGCCAAAATGAAAATAGAGAGGAAAAAAGAATAAGAGAAAACTAAAACTTTGAAAACTTTGCAAATGAGTTCTTTCTTTGAAAAGTGCGATGTCAAAGGTTGACTCGTGCCCAAAACTTTAGAATGATTGTTTCAAAACAATCTATGAAACATGCTGGCAAATGTGTACAGCCTAACACCATGCCTTTTAAGGATTTGAAAAATATTGTATACTAAATGGTGTCGTGCGTTAGATAAAAACTAATTTGAGTAACAAAAATGTTGATTTGCTCGTTGGGGTGAGTGGTACCATCATGTTCCTGTCTATGAATAGATGTCAAAATTGAGACGAGTTAACCAATATCGAAGCAAATGATCGATATTCTCTACTATCCTCTTAGCTACTTTCCTCTATCATCTCGTCTATCGCCTTCTTTGTTTAGGCTATCTCAATCGATCCTTGTTGAACGATCTTAGGCAACGACTAATTAGGTTTTCTGTTTTTTGTTTCATATATGCGTTTTCAGCAGGAAGGACATTCCTCTACACTTTTCTTCTTCAAGATTTTCAAGTCACTCTTGAGTTCTCTTATCATTGTCATTTAATCCAATTGTTTTTCCACCTCTTTTACCACTAGTTCATTGCTCATCATGTTTCATGTGGTCACCATTGAGATTAAACTGTTTTCTCAACACAACAGTGGATGCCAAAATGTTCTTGTAGGCCTGAGTTTACACTTAACCCATGTATTTCTTTAAAAGTCCAATCTGCACTAATATTTTCCTTTGTGTTTTTGTTCATTCGTCTTTCTCGCAGACTGGTGAGTCACGTGCAAAAGATATTTCAACATTCAAGTAAGTATTGAGTTTTACAAAATATAATAAATGTAGATAGTTCAAAAGTATTAAATATTTCATCTACATTTTCTATTTATAAGACCCATTGTGAACTTTGACTAGTTTAGTTATGGTCGAATAATTCTTTAACCTTATTTATCATAATAATTTGCATATTAATCTCCTAATGCTATTTCGGTCTTGACTTATCGATTCCAAACTCAATATCGAGAGTCTTGACCATTCGGTTTGATATGTACAAATACCATTAATCGATTGTAAATAATTATTTTTCTTCTAAATTGTGCAGAGTAGGTACAAACCTAGCTTCAAAATTTCCAAATAGAAAAATGTAGTTATTATATGGCATGACACATAATGCTTAAAAAGAAAACACAAGAAAATAAAATGCAGGTCTTTTTAAGTTTGAAATCACAACAGTATAAGCTACAAGAATTGTTGGCCTGTGAAGTGAAAAGCAACACCAGAGAGCGTGAATAAGTGCTCCATCGTTTTATAGAGGTTTAATAGGTTCGGAGGTCCTTATATTTGTGGGTTCGTTTCAATTGGGTCCTCCAATTTTGAAAGTGATCAATTTGGTCCCTAATTTAACAAAATTGAGTCAATAATACCCTTTCCGTTAAATGTAATGGACGGCGTTAACTTTTTAAACATGTAGCATGTTGAGGCATCCTTTTATTTGCAGGTTGCACAGTTTTATTTGAAGGATGCTTCAACATACCACATGTTTAAAACGTTAATGCCGTCCATTGCATTTAACGGAAAGGATATTATTGACTCAATTTTGTTAAATTAGGGACCAAATTGATCACTTTCAAAATTGGAGGACCCAATTGAAACGAACCCACAAATATAGGGACCTCCGAACCTATTAAACCTTTTATAGAAATGGATTTCACAAAACAAAACAAAATTGTTCTTATTTTCACATCTTTCGTTTTGCTCGTACTTTTCCCATAACAGAAACTCATCTTAATTCCCTTTTCCTCTCTTCCCTTTTTAGTCCTTTAAATGTTAAAACACAAGAATAAAGGAAAAAAACTATAGAACTTGATCTGGACGATTAATCATCAATGTTACTGTGATTTATTACATGGTATGCCATGCTTCTTTACCTAAATTCTTTGCCCATTAATCTTTCTCTGTCCAATCGTTTAAATTATTGCACAAATGACCCATTTTTCGTAGTAAATTATGTCGCAGGCCACTAGGTATGGTCCATTGACTTGGACATGCATGCTGCATATATTCTTAACTGTTGACACAAAAATTGTTGAGTCATCCGATGCTGTTGCAGTCTTGCAGAGGCAGAATGTGTTAGTCACTCACTGGATATTTTTCGACAGATGTTTTAGACTTTTAAAACATTTCAGGATATTCATGCATTTAAGTTTCATTATGCATTACATCATGGCAAGCTCATTATGATTGGTTGCCTACATAAGTTCAGAGTGAACCTTTTTTGTCCAAATTTACATCTTAGAGAATTTATTAACTGCTTTTTATTGAATTTGTTGCCCCCTCACTGCCCTATTCTTGCAGGATAAAACAGAAGTTACAACTTTTAGTGCTCTATTGACAAAGATATAGCAAACGAGAAAGGGTGTTTTTTTAGTGCTCTTTTAGCTTATCAATAACAGTACTGAAAAAAAAAACAATAGTAACAAAAATACGAGTATTTTATTTTCAGGGTGGATCCATAAAAATACAAAGTGCAAGCAAATAGTGACACAGACGGGATAGGTGATCGCAGTGCCGAATTTTTCTTTCTATTCTTTCTTTTTCCTGAAAATTCAGCAAATCAGTGGTGAAGGAAACAATATTATACAGGGTTCATTATTTATCTTATGAACCAACATTGATGATTCAGCTATGAACTATATTCTTAAACAGGCACACGTTAACACAAATATGATACGCATACTTATCCAACAGATTGATCAGTGTTTGATCTGAGACAACATGCACCTAACATCCTTTGCGTTAGGCCTCTCTTTGGGATCATCCATGGTGCAAAAGCATGCAATCTTCGCAACCAGAAGCATCTGCTCCTCATACCCATTTTCGAGCAGCTTCGGATCAATAGCCTTCTTGGGATTCTCAGAACTTAAAATATTCCTCAACCACTTGACCAAGCTAATCTCATCAGTATGCTGAAAGAACTCGTCGGAAGGAAGCTTCCCAGTCACCAACACCCCAAGGATTACTCCAAAGCTGTAGATGTCACACTTATCAGTGAACTTAAGTATCTGGTGATACTCAGGAGCAATGTACCCCACAGTACCAGCCACTTTGGAGGTGGTTACGTGAGTCTTGTAATCCGGCATTGCCTTAGCGAGTCCAAAATCAGCTATGCGTGCTTCCATGTCATCATCAAGAAGAATATTTCCAGGCTTGAGATCCCTGTGAATGATGCGAGGGCTGTGATTCATGTGAAGGTATTCAAGTCCAGCAGCAACACCAAGCATGATTCTATGCCGTGCAAACCAATCCAGCTCTCCCTCACCGTTTTGAACCTTTTGCAGCAAGTCCAGCAAGCTACCATTCTTCATGAACTCATAAACGAGGTAGTGGCAATCAGGCCTAGAAACATGCGCTAACAGAGGCAGAAGGTTTCGGTGTCTAATTTGTCCCACAGTGTTAATCTCAGACCGAATTTGCCTCATTTTCTTATGCATAGCCTTGCTATCTTCCTCTGCTAATTCAGCAGCATCTTTGGGAGGTTGAATAACTTTCTTTATAGCAATCATTTTGCCATTGCTTCCTGGTAACTCAGCCTTGTAAACCTCTCCACAGCCACCGCGTCCAATGACTTCCATCGAAGCGAGTCCGTCTTCCTTCTCCAAGAAGGCCAAATCCTCTGCTTTCTTAATCAAGGGACTAAAAATATCAGGACCCGCTCTCTTTCCTCTTCCTTTGATCAACGCCAAAGCCAGTTTGAACAACAGAGAAAACACGAACCCTGATAAGGTTCCAGCCAGTGCCCCTGCCAAAAACCCGAGAATCCACCCCAGGAGTTTTCTCTTAGTGTGCTTGTGTTTATGATGGTTAGGTGAAGGACCAGGTGCCGATGCAGGGGAAACATTAGAGGCTTGGGAGTTTCTCTTGCTTGAGGCAGGCGGAGGAGAAGGTGCATCCGCACCGTCCAAGAGGAAACGTCTCGAGAGAACGGGGTCTGATGAGGAGTGGAGAGAGGGTTCGAGGAAGCTGTTGCCGGAGAAGTTGAATTGGCGGAGGTTGCGGAAGGAGCGGACGGAAGAAGGCACCCTTCCGGTGAAGAGGTTGTCGGCGACGGAGAGGGTTTCGAGGTTGGGGAAGTACTTGAGGAAGTTGAGGTTGCCGGAGAATTGGTTGGAGGATATGTCCAACGCGCGAAGGCGCGTGAGAGAGGAGAGTTCGGAGGGGACCTCCCCGGAGAAGAGGTTGTTGGAAAGGTCGAGGATTTCGAGCTTACGGCAGTCAACGATTTGGGGAGGGAGGCGGTCAACGAGTTGGTTGTGGGAGAGAAGGAGTTGTTTGAGCTCGGTGAGGCGTCCTATTGCGGGGGACAAGACACCTTTGAGATGCTTTGATTTGAAGACCAACCTGGTTATTCGGAGGACGTAGGTTTCCTTGGTGGAGAGCCTTCGCTCGCAGAACACACCCTCCGTGTAACATGCTTCATTTAGGTCCAGTTGACCGTTGACTCCGAAATCCTTTCGCAGAGCCAAGAGTGCCTTGAAGTCTGAGGGGTAGAGTTCAAGCTTGGCGTGGATCGAGATTAAGAAGAAAAACAGTGAAAGAAGCAATAAGCGAATTTTGCCAACCATTGTGCTTTGTACTCACTTCTGCATCGTTTTCTGCTTACTCTTATAGCGCCAAACCGTGTGGAAAATTTTGCACTTCTTCCTCTTCTTTGAATTTTCTTTCCACATCCCCCACTCGGTAAATTTCCTACTTCCTTTTTTTCGTTGGTTTATATTTATTTATTCATTTTTTCATAATAATGTTTCTCTCCTTCAGTTGACTGTCGCTCTCTTGTTTCGTTTATCTTGTTTCACCAAATTACAAAGCAATACACTCACAAGTCTCACTGGTCCTACACTACCTCATCATTTCCTAGTTACAGCTGCTCGCACCTTCACACACTGCCGGATTCAAGGTCGTGATGGAAAATAAATGTCTGAATATTATTCGACACTACTATCATTTTTATTTCAAATTCTGGATTCATTTGTTTAAGCATGAATATGGATATGGAAATTGTTTCGGTTAGTCGATTACGTAAACTATTCCTTATCTTTCAACTTAAAATGAAATACCAAAATTTTAGTAAAGATATTGTTTCGGTTGAAATTGTTCGAAGATGGGTCGTATTTTCTTGCTCTGATATTTTTCGATAGTTCAATTCTCTTTGAGAATGTACTCCACTCCGATGAATTGTTGATATGTAAGAGACACTCCGACGTTCAAGTCAGATATGTTTCATAAAGAAGTTTATATTTTAATTAGAATAGATTCAAGTTAGAATAAGATGTCTTTACCTAGACATCAATTATATATTTATAGGGCTTGTGACACTCAAACACATTAATTAACTATTAATGCAATATATTTTTAGGCAATCAAACTCAATAATCAATAATTAATATAGTATATTTGTAAAGCGTAAGACAATCTGATCCATTAATATATGCTAACTTCGATCGGTATATTTCATATAGTACATAAGTCTCCCAAGCCCAACCAAGCTCTTTATTGAAAGATGTGCGCAGAGATTATTATGAATTTAAGAGAGGTCACATACGTTGTATTTAGGGAGTCTATTTTTGACGCGCTTTAAGTCTTCATTTCTCTTTGCACCGAGCGGCAGACTCTAGGAGTTCTCTTTGAAACTTTTTCCTAGGTTGAGCAGTAGACACTAGGAGTTCTTTTTGAAACTTTTTCTCTAGGCCGAGTGGTGACGGATAGGAGTTCTTTTTCTAGAACTTTTTTCCTGTACAAGATATTTAACTCACAAAAATATGCGTTAAACAAAATAAAATAAACGCTTCAATATTTTACAATTTATTTTTATAATGAAGAGCTATTAGAACTTGACAAGGTTTCCTAGGTTGAGCAATAGGCGCTAGGAGTCCTTTTTTGAACTTTTCTCCGAGCGACGAATGGTAGGAGTTCTTTTTTGAACTTCCTACGTTGAGCAGAGGTGTCTCAAGTTCTTTTTTGAAATTCTCTCTGATCGGCGAATGGTAGGAATTCTTTTTTGAACTTCCTACGTTGAGCGGAGGCGTCTGAAGTTCTTTTTTGAACTTCTCCTTGAGCGGCGAACGATATGAGTTCTTTTTCGAACTTCCTACGTTGAGCGATGACATTCGAAATTCTTTTTTGAACTTTGCCCCGAGCGGCGAACAATAGGAGTTCTTTTTCGAACTTCCTACGTTGAGCGAGGACATTCGAAATTCTTTTTTCGGACTTCTCCCCGAGCGGCAAATAGTAAGAGTTCTTTTTCGAACTTCCTACGTTGAGCGGGGACATCCGAAGTTCTTTTTTGAACTTCTTCCCGAGCGGCGAACGGTAGAAGTTCTTTTTCGAACCTCCTACGTTGAGCGGGGACATTCAAAATTATTTTTTGAACTTCTCCCAGAGCGGCGAACGGTAGGAGTTCTTTTTTGAACTTCCTACATTGAGCGGGGACATCCGAAGTTCTTTTTCGAACTTCTCTCCGAGCGGCGAACGGTAGGAGTTCTTTTTCGAACTTCCTACATTGAGCGGGGACATCCGAAGTTCTTTTTTGAACTTCTCCCCGAGTGGAAAACAGTATGAGCTCTTTTTCGAACTTCGTACGTTGAGTGGAGGCGTCTGAAGTTCTCTCTGAAGTTCTTTTTTGAACTTTTTCCTATGAAGTTATTTTCACTCACAAAAAATATGCGTTAAATAAAATATTCAATTTTTTATTTTTATAATGCGATGACGTTAGAACCTGACAAGGTTGAACGTTGGTGGTCCAATCGACCAAGCGATAAAGGATTGAACCTTCCTGTGCAAAATATTTTAACTCACAAAAACATATATGGTTTAAACAAAATATTTAATATTTTATAATCTTCTTTTGTAATGAAGAGTCATTGAAACCTGACAAGGTTAAACGTTGGTGGTCCAACTGATCGAGCGGTAAGGGATTGAACCTTCCTAGATATTTTTACTCACAAAAACAAGTTAAACAAAATGAAGTAAATGCTTCAATATATTATAATTTATAAATTATAATGAGAAGTCATTGGAACCTCACAAGGTTGAACAAGGTTGAACAAGGTTGAACATAGAACTGAACCTTCCTGTGGAGGATTTTTTACTCACAAAAATATGAGTTAAACAAAATAAAGTAAATGCTATAATATATTATAATTTATAAATTATAATGAAAAGTCATTCGAACCTGACAAGGTTTGAGCGTAGGTCTGAACTTTCAAAACAAATATTATAATTACAATTTTTTACTCTTGTTGCAAAACCTGGTATTGATCCAAAGTAGCGATGTCGAGACCAAGCGCACGTTTGGTTTCTCGTGGTTTCATGGGGATGTTGTTTAGCTTCATGGTGGACGCCAAAATGTTTCGGTTGAAATTGTCCGAGGGTCGGTCGTCATTTCGATCGTTCTTTTTCGATCGTTCAATTCTCTCCGAGAATGTCATCCACTCCGATGGGTTGCTAATTTGAATGAGTAAATTTAAATATAAATTTATCTACATAAATAAATTATATTCGGAAGAAGTCGTGCTTTTAAACATAACTTTTACATTAACAAATTACGTTTTACCTAAAAATACTTTAGATTATAATTTATAACTTCTTTTTATTTTATCTTATAGAAATCATACTTCTAAATACAATTTTGTTACTTATTTTATTTTAAAATCATACTTCTGAATTTTTTTTTTACTTTTTTTTTAAATCGTTTTTTCTATCACTTTTTTTAACTGAAGTTTAAAAACAATTTTATACTCCATTGCGGGCAACCTAAAAGATTGTTAGTAAAAAAACATACTTTAAAACATGACTTTAAAATAAAATAAAACAATAACAAAAATTTGCTTTGAAACACGCTTTTATATTTAAAAATTATAAAAGAATTGAATAATGCTTTCAAATATTATTTCTCTAAGAAAAAAAACTAAAAAAGTAAACGTAATTTATCACAATAAAAAAATCTTCGGAAGGACAATATACCTCTATACATGAAATCTTTAAAATTTACCCATTTCACTAAAATCAACAAAAAGAAATACACAATTTACCTGAATAAAACACCATAGTCAGCTGTGATATTTGTCTTGGTCAATAACTAATTGAAACAATGTCTTTTTCAAAACATAATATACATTTTGAGGGATGCGATCTGTTTTAGGAAACACAGAAATTAAATGATAGGGACGTATAGGATTGAAAATTCTTCAAATTTTGACACTATTTGATAAATTCCTATATGTAAATCAAATTTTTGACTTGGTAATACTTTTGGTTTTTCAAGTATTACCATGCTTGTTTCAATTTTCTTAATTTCACTCATGCAAATGGACTGAAGATAGCTATAATAAATTATATATTGTCTTTTTCTATATATAAAAAATATGACACTAATTATCAATATAGAAATTTGAAATTCCAAGTTAGATCAATCCAACAATGATTACGTGGAGTCTATCCCAACCAATGAGAAAATATATCATAGAAAATATATCATAGAGAAAGAAGGGATAGAATGAAAAATCATATAATTAAATCTTAAAGACAAATATCACACAATTGAGTATACACGAATGAAAAAGCATAACAAAACCTAACTAATTAAAATTATATAATTTATGATTATGTAAACAATTTTTACGTTATTATTATTGGGTTTTAATTAAAGTATTTATGGTAAATTTAGATATTTTAACACTAGTGTGAAACGTGGTTTAACATCTATCTTTCATTTTCAAACCATCAAGGACGTAAGTGTAAGAAAATTTTATGATTTCAATTAAATGAAAACATACAGGATATTGAATTTCATGTTTCTCATTATTCTCACACATATAGTAAAAGAGAACTTACCTTGATCCGTTGTATAGTTCTTTCATGTCAATTGTTCTCCTTTACCTTACTTTTCTTTGATGCTTTCTTGATGATATAGAAATTGTAAGAATGTTTCTCTTTGTCAAAGTCACAGTTTCTTTTCTTTTTAGAGAACGTAACATTTTCTTTCTCTCTTTAAGAAACTTAACGTGTCAGAAGAAAAATATTTTTTTCTCTTTTATGATATTTAATCAACTTTAATAAAATACCAAAATGTCCTTTATTGAAGTGAGAAGAGAGAGATTAATTTTAATAACTCTAAAATAATCCCTATAACTTTAATACCTTATATTCTAATAATCATCACATTAGAATCTGTACATCAAAGTTATACTTTAAATTACATGAACCAATGTTAAATATTAGTATAATTTAATATTCTCCCACTTGGTTCATGTGATGACTTGAAGATCTAAAACTAAACTTTAAGTGCACACCATTCATTAGAATTATCAAGTCATCATCCTTATATGAATTGAAATGATTGGATCATGACGGGCAAAAGTCATGAACAACAAGATTCCTTCCATGTATCACCTTCCATGTATCACATAATCAAACCAACTCAACATAACTTTAATCAGTCTTATAATTTTCATGTCTTTAAAAGAGATATAACATGTTACCACAATCAATAATACATGTATATAACTTAATGTGGATAACAATAGAATAAAGAGAAACATAACTTTAATTGAATTCACAAGTGTCATGACAATACAATCATATAACTATACATATCCATATATATAGACAACATCATCATATTGACTTATCCATAATGGTCATACTTTCGACATGGCCAATAAAAGTTTTGGGCGAT